TTATATATACAGAGAGAGAGAGAGAGAGAGAGAGAGAGAGAGAGAGCTGGTGGCAACCCAGTTTAAGCGGCTCGGTGATTCCTCCTCGCTCCTGCTGCCTGCTCCAGCTCCCTCCTGCTGTGTGCTGCTGCCTGCTGCTGCCTCCTGCTGCCTCCTGTTTCTTGCTCGGGCTGGTGCTGCTGGTGACGGGCGGGCACGACTGACAACGAACGACGATGAAAACGGACCACACGACGGTCGCCAAGGAGACAAGGCACAACTGGTGGGTCGGTGAAGTGACGGGGTGCCCAACGGCGGCGTGGGGGAGGCCTGAGTAGTTCGAAAACGAACTACTCAGATCTCCCCCAAAACATTTTACCGGGCCTCCACGCCCCCCGAAAAAAATTTTCGTGCCCGCGGAGGCAATTTCCCCTAGTACCCCTCCGGGCCTCCCACCCCTCCCCGAACCTTTTTGTTTTTTCCACGACCCCTGTTTTGGCCGATGCGCCGCATGCCGTGCACGCGCCAGCTGCGCTTCTGCGCTCCGCACGTGCTGTGACGCCGCGCACGGCATGCGCCGCAAGTATGCTTTTAGCCCCTTTAGTCACTGTTTAAACCTCCCAACCCCCCCTGGATGACCCATCACTGAAACCGGAGTTAAGACCGGATTCTGACTGCTTAGGCCAAGCGCATTCCTGGCCTGAAGTCCTTTTTTTTTTTTGGGACCCTTGCCTCTTTTTGACCCATCTGGTTTTTCGGGCGTGCCTGGCCGGGCGTGCCAGCCCGGGTGGCGGCCCAACATAGATGTATCGTGGTTTCTTTTTCCTTTTTTGTGTATGTCAGTGATGATGATGCATTTATTGTTTTTTCTTTGTTTTTTTTTTCTTCTGTGTGTGTGTGTGTGTGTGTGTGTGTGTGTGAGAGAGAGAGAGCGAGAGAGCGTGTATTGTGTTTTGCTTTCGTCTCTTTTTTGTGTGTGTTGTATTCTGGATTCATGTAAAAATGTGTGGCTTTTTTCGAATTACTTCAATTTGTTTCCCTACTGGGTTTAATTGGAGAAAAATGGGGCAGGCAGTGACATTATTGCGTAAATATGTGTGGCTTTATAATTGACAGGTTCAGCTTGAGTAATTGACGAGTAGGTGTTCATCGCAGAAAGTAGATCGGTGTCCTTGGCATGAACCGGAAATTGTGGAAAGTGAAGTCCTCTCCTTGACTCTGTTGTCAATGGAAGTGGAGGAGAGTGGATATCGTGGGAAAGAAATTAAGAGTGACAGACGAAGAAGGGAAAAAAAAAAGATGACCACTATTGTATTACCGGGGGCCCATGTGTGTAGCAGTCGGCCACGTGCTGGTTGGGTGGGATGGTGTGGAAAAGGTTTTGTGTGTGGTCGTTCAAACCACCGCGTCCTCCTGGAAAACCGTGTCAATCTTTGCCGATAGAAAATGGAATCTGTGGGTGATAGAAAATGGAATCTGTGGGTGGTGGTATAAGGTAGTGGTGGTGGTTTGACAATCAAGTGCGGTAGAGCGCTCCTCTCATAGTTTGACTCGTGGTATGAAGCACTTTTTATCATCTTGTGAAGCTAGTCGAGGTAAAGGTTAGTTTGTCCAAGGGAAGATTTTTGTGATCTGGCATTTTTCATTACTGTGCACAAGAAGCTAGGTGGGTGGGGCGCAAAGTAATTGAAGCGTGTGGAGTCTGTGGACCACATTGCCTGATGGCACTTGGGTATGATTCACGACCATGATTCTGTTTGCAGGTTAAGGTTTTTGAAGGACATGCTACAAATGTGACTGCAGTTGGCTTCGAGTGCGATGGGAAATGGATGTACAGCGGATCTGAGGATGGCACTGTGAAGATTTGGGATTTGCGGTGAGCTTGGTTACCATGTTTCACTTAGCATGCCCTCAAATTTTGCTCTAAGTGTGCATATGCTTCGGAAGTCTTCGATCACAGTCTTCTTCATTGTGGCCTTTCCCCTCGTGTTCATTTCACAAACCTAATAAGTGGGTCGTCACTTCATTCTCTTGCACGGAGCATTGCACAAAACCGACGAGGTCTGTGTGCCTAAATCCCTTCCATCAGGGGCAGGACAACGAAATACCCCCAAAGTGAAGGGCTGTTGGATGTTTGACCGTTCTGTTGTGGTTCGTCAGTCTGGAGCCTCCTCGTTCCTGGGAAAACAGCATGCAGAGTAAACTGTCCCCCTTTTTGGCCCTTCTTCATTCAGTTATCTTGGCCATTGACTCTCTGGGATAGTGCACATCTTATCACGACTTATCTTGGCCTTTTTTTTTTTTTTTTAAGAACTACTTTTGTTYTTTTTTTTTTTTTTTAAGAACTACTTCATTYTTTTTTTTTTTTGAAGAATTACTTTATTCCAATAGCACAAGTGGAGGCCGGGGCCCTCACAGTTCACCCCAAAGTATCTGACATCTTCAGTCAGCTTAGCTTATAGCCTGAGCCATTGACGTATCATTACCACTGATTCGAGGGTCTCTGTCTACGGTCTGGTGTAGCAGGGGGACAGTCTGACTGTTTACCTATTTGAAACTCTTTCCTGTTCAATTAGAGCCGGTCACAAAAATTTTCAAATTCCAGAGGTTCGGCATCTGATCTCTGTTGCACTCTTGTCTCTCCCAGTACTGCTGGGCTCTACTGGGCCTAAAACAGCCCCTGGGACTCACTGGGCCCAGTGGACTCAGTCCTCCTATCCAGACACTCTCCTAACGGTCCACTGTGACCATACAGAACCGAGTGCCCTGGTACTTGGGAAGTCTTCCTTTTCCAAACTCGCTCTCGTACTTGCCCTATCTCTACTACAACAGCTACGTCCCTAATCTCCTCGTTACCGCTCTGTCAGCCATTTCTTGATAACCAGTTTTCCTTCAGGTGTAACAGTTGCCAGCCTGTTTCTGCAGGTCCCTGTGTTTTGAACCACTTGAGCTGTCTTCTACTGCATCGTTAGGTGAAATTGGGATCATGTCTGGATTTCAATTTTGAATTATTATGACAAGGAAGTTTTGGGCGTATTAGTTTGCGATGGTGACGTAGTAGTTTCCTTGGGGACACATGAAGGTGGTGTTATATCTTTTAGGGCTCAGGGAAGAGGGTCTTTTGTTTACAGTATAGTTTTGTGCAGGTGTTTTTTGCGTTTCTTTTTCCCCTTAAAATACATTCCATCTGTCATCTGAGTTGAAGAATTCAAAGTGCATACCACAAAGTGGGAAGTTTCAGAATTCGTTTATAGAGAGCTGCTCTGGTGCAAATATCCCCCCATATGAGCAGTCTACAAATAGGACAGAAACCGTCATTTGTGATAAATGGCTGGCTGTGCCAGCCAAACAAGTGCACTGCAGGCGGTTCCTTTTTTATTGGCGCGTAGTGGCAATCCACATCGGGAAAATGAGGCTTGGAGGTACTGGTGGTTTAGACCACCCCTCCATCCCGACCTATTTTGACAAACCACAAGTTGCAGTTCCTCTAGCCCACAATCTACAGTGCGCCCATGAGGAAGAATAGTTGTGGTACCCTTCCCTGACGAACCTCTACCGGGCTTGGGCACTGTAGACTTTGGCCCTGTACTTGTAGACAAGGAAAATGAACAATGCAGGTGCCATTGGAGTGGTGGTTTAAGGGGTGTGAATGGGACTGTTATGCGCAAGTGAAGCTATCCAACTTTATTTGTCCAGGGACCAGGGGCAATATTCCCCTCTGTATGTCATGGGCCTGCTGCGTGGTTTTTGAGGTATGGTCAGGGAACCACATCACTCTACTGTGAGATTCTCATCTGAGCCTGCAGGTGTGGTGTGGGTGGGATTTGTGGTGGTGGCAACTGAACCTTTGCGGGGTGTGAAATCGGACTGCACTCCAAACTTGCTTACCAGATGCATACATGAATGAGCTGATGGCAAACCAACTTCTTCAACTCAGTTTCAACAATGAACTTGCACCGGCGACTAGCGCCCACACAGAAAACTCAGAGATATGGCTTCCAGCCAGAAACTCGGTTCCAGTCAGCTGTACAACTTGCGGCTATGGCCGCCGATCACTGTCTCCACCACCAGCCTCATTGTCTCTCATCCACGCACATACGAGGATCCGCCCTGCATGTCCACGCCATACACACACACACACGCTGTACACCAAGTTGACGTCAACAGCTTGGCGGCTATGGCCGCCGTCGTCTTCCTCCTCCTAGCTATGGCTGTCTTCGTCTTCCTCACTGCCCACTTCAGCTCCGGGCACAAGGCACCAAGGCAGCGCTTCCGCATGGCTCACAGGTGAATGAATGAATGGCTGATCACTGCCTCTTTATTTATACTCCTCCGCAGGTGGCCTGGCACTGCCTCAAAACGTGTGGGCCTGGGCCCCAAACCGTGTGGCCCTGGGCCCAGAAGCCTCCAGAATGCGTCGGCATGCTGGGCCAAAACGCGTGCAACCTGTGGGAAACCCGCTTGGGACCCTCACCACTTGCTTGGCACTTGCTGACTGGACACGGTTCAGACAGCCCTTCAACCTTCTAGACCCTATATGTAACGAGCGCGAGGCTGAGGGAGAGCCGAGGGAGAGGAGAGAGAGAGGGAGAGAGTGAGAACACACACACACACTCACTCACTCGACACGACTGAGGGTCGAACGCAGACACAGTGGCAAGGGCACAAAGTCGAAGTCTTGGATTCCCGAATGCTGAAACAGCAAGTCACACTGAGTACGAGTACAGCAGCTGGAAACTGGTAGGAGACTGGTCCCCCACGGGGAGTCGGTATTAGTACCGGTGACACGTACGGTACCAGGGGCATTTCCGCAAAAGCCCCGAGGGCAGAACTGAAAAATGTGGTATTTGAAAGTGGCGCCCGAATTGCACCATGTCCAAAATCTGACGGTACCAAAGGAGGGGTTTGGAAAAAGGGTGCCAGGCCGAAAACGGGATGCAGCAGAAACAGCAAAAAGATAGACCAGGGATCGAGCCCTGGCAGAGTCCGTAACACTATCCCCTCCCTCTGAAAGTCAACGTCCCGGCTGCCAAAAAGGCAGCGAAACAAAAGGAGCTGTGAAGGACGGGACGGGGCCGATCACAGGTTGGAGAAGGAGAAGGGGGCTGATGGAAGTCACAGGGTATTCTGTCTGGTGTTCTGCACAGGTGAAGGTATGACGTAACTGGGTAGGTCTATAGGGGAAGCTAAGCAATGTTCAGGGGACGGGGGATTTCTATTGATGTTCTACTGGGTAAGGAGAAACGATGTTCAGGAGAACAGGGAATTTCTATTGATGTTCTAGTTGGTACGGGAAACAATGGTCAGGGGAACAGGGAATTTCAATTGATGTCCTAGTGGGTAAGGGGAACAATGGTCAGGGGAACAGGGGATTTCGATTGATGTTCTAGTGGGTAAGGGGAACAATGGTTAGGGAAACAGGGATCTGCTACTGATGTTCTACAGGGTTGTCAAAGTCAGGAAGAGAAAAACAATGAAAATGTTTGTGTAGGATGCAAGGGCTGGTGTGTCCGAAGGAGTCGGAAGCAGAATCTCATGCAGGAACGAAGTGTCCAAGTGTCTTGAAAGGGGGTCTGCAGCGATCTTGATCAGGTCTTGGAGTAGGTGGTAGACGCGGTCTTCAGCGGCTGCAACAGGTAGAAGTCCAAGAAGCGTAGCAGTAGTTCAAATGTCCAAAGTCCAAGTGCTAGGGTGCGTTTGTTACATGAACTGCAATGAGGTCTGATCTGGAAGCAGGTAAGTCGCAGACTGATGCAAGTATCCATGTCGCAAGTTGCTGCTCCAGTAAGTCTGCAAGTCGGGATGCCGGCCGATGAAACAGCATGGTGGCCAAACCAGCTGCATAATCTCCATGAATAGTGAGGCAGCAGGCCATCGTCCTCGTGCGCTTGCCATTAGATCCTTTATCGTCGGTGTCACGCAGGTCCACAAGCATTGGACAAGAGAGACAAGGTAGTGGAGAGGACAGATGGGACAAGTAAGGGCAGATCAGACATTAGGAATCAGGGTCAAGGGGAGGGTGTGTAGGGCGGGGTTGCGAGGTTGTAGCAGGGTTTATACAGGGGTTTAGGGTTATAGTTACGTGGGTATCTAGGACATAGGAGTAGCACGATCAGAGGTGCGGACAAGTTTCATGGCATTCTTGAGATTCGAGAGAGGTTCCCATGTAGATTCTTCGTCGGGGTATCCGGTCCATTTGACTTTGTATTCAATGATTGGGTCCGGGTGGTGAGATACCTGAGTAGCTTGTCGACCTTTGATTGCTTAATTGCAAGAGAGAGGGGGACAGTGTTCAGGTGGAGGAGGGCCCGACTATCGCGGTGGAGGAAGAAGTGGGAGTAGGAGGGCCGGGTCCAGCGGAGCGACGGTCCTGTCGAGCAAAGTGCCTAGCGTTGGGGCGGTTGTTCTGTTGGTGACCTAACTGGCGGCAGCGAAAACAGCCGTTGTGTTCCTGGAGGTATATGCGTTCTGCGGGTGTGAGTTTCTGGAGACGGCGGGGTGGAGAGGAAGAAGGCGGTCGGGAGGCACGATCCTGGCGTTCCATCCGCGTAAGGTGGGCGGCCTGGAGGTCCTCAATGGTGAATTGGGAGGGGTCGAGAGGGGCATTGTCGAAGTCGTCATCGGAGGTGGGTGGAGTGGTGTCGTCAGGGGTGATGTCATGGAAGAAGCGGGGGCAGGAGGGAGCGGGCGCGGACTGGTGATGGGGTTGACGGAGTCGATCGTGGTGAAGCATGTGAGAGATGAGGTCAGCAAGGGGCATGTTGGGTTCGTGGGCGAGGGCGGTGGCAAGATCTTTGTGGCATACTCGCTTGATGTGGGAGATGAACGCAAAGTCAGGAATGACGGTGGTGGGGAGGTGACGGCGGAGAGAGCGGA